ACCCCGAGAAAAGTGCACCTTTGTGCAGGGGAAAATATTGTGAATATTTGCCCGAACGGAACATAGTCAGAATCTTCTCCTCCATCATGTACTCGGGGAAAAGGTGGTATTCCATGTGGGCATTGGCATCTTCGTCGGAGAAAATAACACCGTGCGAGGCTAGCCTACTGCCCAAAACAGCAAATCTCCCGAAGGGTTCTTGGGGGGTCTCTCCTACTTTCATCTCAAGACCGTGGTATTGGGATGATAACCTTTCTTTCTCGGCTCTGGGACGCGGTTCGTCATAGTTGAGGAATATTTTCCAACCTCCACTTGGACTACCATCAGCGATGATCTGGGGGAGGATAGGCATGTATGTTACAGACGTGATCAGCAGGTTCCACGCCGTAATTGTCTTTTCTACGCTGTCACACGAATGCACCCTACGCAGCTCCTCCATGCTCACTCCTTCTTTTCCGACTGGAATCTTTTCTTCAGTCAGTACCACGTCACGCACTCCTTCCTGCGCAAACATAGCTACCATGTTCGATCGAAAAATCGAAAACTTAGCCTGCTCATCTTCCCCTTGCTTAAAAATCACATCCCAAGGCGCTAGGCGCTTAACCTCTGTCATGCGAATACTTCCTCCTGTACTGGGTACTACCGATGTCCCGTGGTGATGTCTGCATTCGTCTGGACATGGCGTCTGCGAGAGTGCGGGCGATGTCATCTACGGCCGGGTTCGCCGTTGACCGCCCCGCTTCTTGCTGGTGGCGTGTCTCGTGCTCGCTTCCGGTCCGGACGTTCTATGTCCTCTGCTCCTCCTCGTCTTGTTGCCGCCTCATGTCGGCCAGTCGTTGTTGTACCCTCATCTCCACCAACTCGTTGATGCGGGCGTCCTCGTCTTCTGCGTGACGGGCGCCTCGTTCTTGGTCGGCGCTGGACATCGGTGACAGCTGCTGATCGCCGCAAAACGATACTCCAAACTAAGCTCGACCCGAATCTCGTAGAGGACGTGTCATACGCTAGCGTGATCGATAATTCGGGTGGCTCAGTTGTGTGTGATGGGAGTGTAGAGCAGCTCGGCCATGACGGGCCGTAGGGGTAGGGAAAGTAGTGCAGACGTGTTGAAAAACGTGTCGTATTCATCGGGAGAGTGCTTGAGCTCGTCATTCCATCACGGCATCAAGTCAGGCATAACGCTTGAACACCCAAAACGAATCTCCATGAATGTCCACCAATCTACCACACTCTCAAGGAAAACATAAAGAAAGTTCTTGTTCCTCCGTATGTCAGAGTATATTTCGCTGTGCACTAGCAGCAGTACGATGCTGCAGATGCCGGTAGGCTGTGTAGTCTACCTCAGAGGTTCACACTCTGTGCGGCTCCAACCGCGAGAGACTTGGAATAGAAATATGAAGATGTTTTTATTAATCGCTGACTCCCGAGTCAGATGTTGCTGGTACTGAAGAGGAGTGAGAGTGGTGGGCGAGCTTAGGGCTGCACCACTCTTCTCGAATACCGGATCAATAAGCCAATCACACGAATGATCCAGAATGCTTCCAGAATGATTTCTGGAAGCCCTCCTACGTTCTAGATGAGTATCAACTGCAACCTAGATCTAGAACGCTTCCCGAAGCTTTAAGAAGGAACCAGAAGTTTCCAGAAGGCTTCCAGAAGCTACACACGTTCTACGTAGATGTCCCGGTCAACCTTGACCTAGTATGCTTCCGGAATATTTCTAGAACAAGAGAATACATGCCAAGGAGAGATGGATTCTTTACTACTGCTACGCAGACTAGTTGCTTCAATCGTATTCAATGGTCAAACCGTGTCCGACTACTGGTGGTCTCGACACACGATTTTCCTGACACGACCTCTCGATCAAGCAACTTTTTCACAATGGTCGACGGCATCACCACATCCTTGTCTACCTCAACCCCTTCGTTGGCACCGTATCGAAAACAAATTCCTTCTGGTATGGCGGGTATTGAAGGAAGCTTCACAGATCTTCGATCAACACGATAAGTCCTTGATCTGCTGAATGATGGAGGCGAATCGGTGCTTTGGGAGGTACTTGGTCGCGATATCAGCCAACTGGTGCTCGCTGGGCCGGTGGTGAAGAGTGATTTGTCCCCGTAGTACTAGCTCCCGGATGAAAAAGTACCTCAGGGCCACGTGCTTCGTGCGTTGAGAGTGCATGGCATTCCCGGCCACTGTCAGCGCTCCGGTGCTGTCGCTGTTGATGGGAACCGATCCGAAGGTCTTGAAGCTGAGTTCTGTCATAAAAATTGAGACGTAGACCGCCTCTCTGGCTGAGTAGCTAAGTGCTTGAATCTCGGCTTCGACCGTGCTTTGCGCGGTTAGAGTTTGAGTCTTCGCACCGTAGCTGATGAGTCCTCCAGCCAGAAAGAAGAGATATCCCGTGGTAGATCTTCCGTTGTCGGGGTTTGCTCCGAAGGATGAATCCGTAAACGCCGCTAGCCGAAACTGTCCTCTCTTGTAGACGATAGGAAGAACTGGATTACCCCGAAGGTATCGCAGAACGTGCTTGGCTGCTGTCATGTTCACCTGCGCTGGGTTGCTGCAGGCCTTGGAAAGTTGTAGGGCAGCGTAGGAGAGGTCGAATCGCGTGCACTGGGCCAGGTAGACGATGCTTCCTGTCATGGACTGGTAGATTTTCTTGTCCGTGGGTCCTAGGATTTGGTCCTGAGGTTGATTCGTGGAGATTTCCGCTCCGTATCCAGGAGTGCTCACTGGGTTGGCCTCTTGCATTCCGAACCGCTCCAGAAGTGTGTTCACGTAGTGCTCCTGTGAAATGGCCAGGGTTCCTTGCTCGTAGTCTCGCTGCACGTCGATCCCGAGGATCCGCTTTACCTCTCCCATGTCGGTCATCTCGAATCGATCCGTGAGCTCCTTCTTCTTCTGGTCCACGAGCTGCTGGTCTCCTCCTGTGATGAGAATGTCGTCTACGTAGACAGTGAGAATCACGATGATGTTGCCCCTGGTATACACGTACATGCAGGGGTCGGATTGAGTCCTTTTCCATCCGAACACCGTGAGGGATTCGTCCAGGGTGTCGTTCCAGAGCGCCGGCGACTGCGATAGGCCGTAGAGGCTCCGTTCTAGTTTGTACACCATGGGTTCTCCCGTCGCGGAGTTCTTGGCGGATGTACCGGGGGCGGGTCTGACGTACACATCTCTGTCGCAGAGGGCGTTCAGGAAGGCACCGACAACGTCCAGTTGGTAGATGGGCCAGTTGTTGTGGCAGCCAATGGCGCACGTCATGCGAATGCTCCCGATACGGCATACTGGTGCGTAGCTGCGTCCGTAGTCCTGTCCTGGCTCTTGACGATGTCCTCCGACTACCAGGCGAGCTTTGAAGCGTCCGTCCAGCTTTTTCTTGAAGACGAATTTCGTTCCGAGGATCTTCTCTCCCTTGGGAACGCTGCTGAGGGGCACCAGATTGTAGACGTTGTGTTTCCGCAGATTGTCCATTTCCTTACTGCGCGCTCCTTTCCATTCTTCGCGCTGGGGAGAGCTCATGGCTTCGCCGTAGATGTTGGGGATTTTGATCGCTTGATTCGTCTCCTCCAAGATCCCGTGGTGTTCGTGAGTGGTCGTGACGTAGGCGTGAGCACGCGGCACCGTGAAGGGGTCTTCCGCAACGTGGGCGAAATCCTCAGTATCGCCAGGGCATGGGAGCTGGGCTTGATCGGCTATCTCAGCCAGCTGAGTGAAGGAAAGACCGGATGGCTCTACGCGGCCCGTTGTAGCATGGGCTCGACCGCGGTCGTTCATGGTGACTTCCAGATTGGCAGGAACCAAGTTGACGTCGATATGATCGTCGCTGGTGGGCTTCCCGCGCGTGCTGGCTCTGGTGACTTGCAGGCGCCGCATGCCGGAGGATCCAGTTGATGCTGAAGTGTCCGGTTCAGGCGGGTTCGACGATGATGGACTGGGGCTTGATGCGTGGGTCTCGGATGACGGTCCAGCGGGCGTCGATGGGAGATGTGGTGATGGAGCGTCTCCGTCGCCGAGATCTTGCCCGTTTCCATGTTCGTCCTTGTGCCCGTCCAGTTCCAGGCGAAGCTCCTCCCGAGGGAGATTGTCTTGCTGCATCTTCCGGACTTCTTGCCGAAGGAGTTCGTTCTGCGCCGTGAAGTCCAGGTCGCTCGTCGAGTGGGGGCTGTCCAGCAGGGAGGTGAAGCTCAGCACGTCGCTCTCGTACCTGTTTGCTTCAGTGGAATACTGGAAGGGCACTGAGCGGGGTGGAGATTCGATGAAAGTCACATTCCGGCTCTCGACCACGGCCCCGTCGGATGGGTTCAATACCCGGTAGGTCTGGCTGTCGAGGCCGAAACCACATAGCTTGCCTTCGAAAGCTCTGTCGTCCAGCTTCTTTCGGTATCTCTCGTGGTGTACGAAGGCGCGCGCTCCAATGACCCGAAGTCCCGAGAGATCAGGTGACTTATTGTGCAACTTCGAGTATGGCGTAGCTCCTCCCAGTGCTGAGTGTGGGGACCTGTTCAACAGGTATGCTGCAGTCAGCATTAACTCCCCCCACATGGACGGCGGAAAATCTCCATCCTTCAGAAGACACCGGGTGACTCCGGCCAGGGTTTGTCCGTCCCGTTCCGATACACCAATTTGTTGAGGGGTGTTGGTGGCGGCGTATTCGAGCTTGATAGCTGAATTCTTGCAGTAGTCCCGAAATTCGGATCCGGTGTTCTCGCCTCCCTTGTCGCAGCGGATGGTCTCGATCCGGTAGCCTCCTGCCGCTGCGACGCACATGTTGTACGTGTGCACCGCCTCGGTCGTGTCAGATTTCTTGCGAAGCAGGTAAACTTCTTTCATCTTCGTGTAGTCGTCGGTGATCTTGCACGCGTACGGGAAGGAGCCTCCTTTATATTTCGCAGGTGGATTAACAGGCCCCATGTTGTCGATGACCACAAGCTGTCCAGGCCGTGATAGTTCGCGAGTCGATTGCTTCGGGTGGGGGGACTGCTTGTGTTTCGCGATCTGGCAGACCCCGCAAGGGGAGAGACTGTCGCGATAGTCCACCCCGGTACCCGTGTCCTTCCGAAGGATGTCCAGGCTCCGAGCATTGAGATGTCCAAGCCTCCTGTGCCAGGTGTCCGCGCTCACTAGCGTAAAGCAGACGGCGTTCGCCGTGTGGGTCTGTGACTGCTTCTGGTGGGGCACGAGGGATTTCGTGCCAGATGGCTGGACGTTCTGCTCGAACGTGATGTCGAGGGTGCACATGCCTTGGTCTCGCGGATCTTGTGTGAGTGGAATCACCTTGTCTTGGATAGTGAGGTGCGGAGTGCTCTCTTCGACGACGCAGCGCAATCCCTTTTTCAGGAGGGAGGTGGGCGAAAAAATGTTGCGACCAAGTCCCGGAACGATGAGTCCCTGAATCCGCACGCGCAATTGCTGTCCTCGATTGTCCTTGACGGTGCAGTGTAGGATGCCCGTGGCCGTGCCTTTGAGTTGTCTTTCTCCGGCCACGTCCACGATCTTTGGAGAGTTTCGCTGGGTGTAATCGTGGAGGTTTCCGTCGGGGATGAGGCGATTGTCAAACATGGTCTCCGATGCTCCCGTGTCTACCAGCAGGCCTACCCCGGTGGAGCTCGCGGCGAAGTTGCGTCCTGAGATGCGGGAACACGTGCCGAACATGAAGCCGCTGTCAAAGGCGTCCTCGTCCCGGGTGAAGTCGACAACTGCCACTTCATTGTTTGAGTCGTGCTTGTTGGACGCCGACGAGCAGTGAGTGCAGTTGGAGCACGCGGTGAATGCTTTACTTGAGTCCTTGGTGTCTTCCGGGCGCTTTCCTCCTTGCTGGTAGCATTCCTCGTCCGAGTGAGACGTGGTGTTGTGCTTGGAGCACCACTTGGTAGCTCCGGCGGGCTTCGTTTTCTTCTTCGCCCTGTTCTTGATCTTGGGGCAGTTCCTCCTGATGTGCCCCGGCTCGTAGCAGCTGTGGCAGATGATGTCAGACGCGGTCGTTGCCATGGCAAATCCTCGACCAGCTATGCGTCCCTTCCATCCCTTGCGCGATTGTTCGTCCAAGAAGATGTTGCGCATGGTGGATTGCATGTCCAGGACGTTGAAGGTTGGGTCTCTGAACACCATCAGTTTGACGTCCTTGTATTCGTCGGAGAAGCCCTGTACGCAGATGTCCTTGAAGCGGCGGTCGGAGATGGGTTCTCCCATCTTATCCAGCTGGGTGCGAAGTAGGTGCTTCTGGTTGAAGTAGTCGTCGGGATTTTCACCAGGGTTCATGGGGTTGTTCTCCAGCTCCTCCATCTTGGCCCTGATGACCTCGTCCGTTACCCTGTCATAGTTGTTGCAGAGCTCCTCGAAGGCAGCTTGTCCGTCGCCGCTGATGCCAGTGTCGTCTTCGTGCTTCTGTATCGACAAGGCGGCTGGAAGTTCCACTAGGAGGAAAAGAATGGCGTAGAGATCTTCGTTTGCCCTTGTGTAGGAGTCGAAGGCCGCTGTGTCTGCGGGATCTGGCTTCCTTTGTTTCTTCAGCAGTGGCAGGATGTCCTTCCTGGTCACACCTAACACCACGCAGAATTTCTTCATCCATGTCTTGAACTCAGCTGGGTCCTTTCCGTCGAATTTCTTGAGGCCTTTGATCACGGTTGCCAGGTTCGTAGAACTATCGCTGGCGAACGCGCTTCCACCTCCTGTGTTGCTCGTTGCAGTATCCATTGCTCGTTCCAGCTTTATTTTCTTCGTCTTGATAAAAGTACTTCCTGCTGTAGGAGTAAGTTTGCTCGTGGTACTACTGCCTGTACCCGAGACTTCCCCACCCCGTTCCTGCTACTGATATAGAGGACTCTGGATGTGGTTTTCTTGTTTCCGATCCCGCTCCTGCTACTGATATAGAGGACTCCGGTTGTTGATCGCCTCCACTGACGATACAGTGTAGTTCCTTGTGCACCCGATGCGTATGCCGCTCGAGACTCCCGCGCACGTGACCCTTGCTGCTAGTTCACCACACCCACTACTGCCGCAGGGATGGTAACGTGTGTATACGACGTGAACCCTCAGCACCTTGGTGTAGATGACCAAGTTTGCGCGTTTGCTTGTGTTGCCGTTGACCGATGACGGCGTCGCAATCTCCAGAAAATCTCCGAAACCAGGTTCTCTCGTTGTCCACGGATGAAGGTTGATGTCCCGAGAAGAGGTTTCCTTGATTTCCCCGTGATGTTCGCAGCTCGTAGTGTGTGCGTTAGCCGAGGCTCACAACCTGTCAGGGTATATTTCGCTGTGCACTAGCAGCAGTACGATGCTGCAGATGCCGGTAGGCTGTATAGCCTACCTCAGAGGTTCACATTCTGTGCGGCTCCAACCGCGAGAGACTTGGAATAGAAATATGAAGATGTTTTTATTAATCGCTGACTCCCGAGTCAGATGTTGCTGGTACTGAAGAGGAGTGAGAGTGGTGGGCGAGCTTAGGGCTGCACCACTCTTCTCGAATACCGGACAAATGAGCCAATCACACGAAAGATCCAGAATGCTTCCAGAATGATTTCTGGAAGCCCTCCTACGTTCTAGATGAGTATCAACTGCAACCTAGATCTAGAACGCTTCCCGAAGCTTTAAGAAGGAACCAGAAGTTTCCAGAAGGCTTCCAGAAGCTACACACGTTCTACGTAGATGTCCCGGTCAACCTTGACCTAGTATGCTTCCGGAATATTTCTAGAACAAGAGAATACATGCCACGAAGAGATGGATTATTTTCTACTGCTACGAAGACTAGTTGCTGCAATCGTATTCAAAGGTCAAACCGTGTCCGACTACTGGTGGTCTCGACGCACGATTTTCTTGACAACAACAACAACCAACACGCCTCCAGGACCCAGGACGGCACAAAAATAACCCAAATACAAACGTAGATCTGGGAGATGTTCCGAATTCTTCCGTGCACAATAACTACAGTTCATTTGGTCTTCGACAACTGACATTCATGTGCAATTCTGGTGCTCCTAATCAATAGGTTGCCTGCTTCAGCAGCTGCTACAAAATCTGACACTAACCCTATCCAACCCGAACCCCAAACCCACACGATAGGTGCTGCAGTAGGTTGGCGCTGGGTGGATAAGTTCAGGTTGGCGTGCCGGCATTGTCGCCACGGCATGGCTTTGATGGGAAAACTTCTAGGTGGTTGTTCCGGCATACTGCAGTTAGTTGTTGTTGTTGTTATCTTCATAAAAACAACCGTTCCGACTTCTCTCTACCCAGTACCTTCGTATGTCCGTACTGATCCAACACTCGACGCGGTCGATTCCCGTGGTTGCAGGTTAACTTACCCTAAGAAGGTACACTCAAATATACTGGTCCCGAGGGGTTCGCAAGTCAATAGAAATCAACGACAGATATTCTGGAGTTCTCCACTCCCTCTGCGCGCTATGCGAGGCATAACAACTGCGACTAGGAGTAACCATGACGGGCCGGAGAGAAAGAGGCACACCCCCTTGGGTCAATCTTGGTACTTCACAAACGCAAGCAGAGACAAGGCCATCTGGCACAGATAGAGAGGAAAGGAAACAACAGAGAAAAAGAAAAAGTAAGGAAAGAGAAAACAAAATACAAGAGAGCGAGGACTAAAATGGACCAGGCCGAAAATAACAAGAAATAAGAAAGGCACACGGTGGAGAGACCATTAACGAACAAGAAAACACGCAAACATCGCCACCAACCAGCGATACATTGCTATGGTACGCCATCACTAGTGAGGGGTTGGTGCAATGGTGCAGCGTTGGGGGTTGGCGGGGGG